CCCCCCCCCCCCCCGCAAAAGGTGGGCGAGGCCAACATGGACATGCTCATCGGCGCGCGGAAAGATCTCGGCCAGTCAAACGGGAGCAACCTTATTCGGTCGCGCGTGGTCATGTTCGCCGACTTGCCCGGGTTCAAGGTGGGTGACTAGTACAGTACAGTAGTGATCCTACAGTAGTTAAAAGCCGGTGCGATTCATTAATGACGGTGCGATCATTGAATGGCGGTGCGATCAATGAGTGGCGCGATCCAGCCGATTTCATCGACATTATAGCGGGCAACCGGCATTGTTCAGAGTACGACATAATTTGAAAATTCCATCTGTGCCAGACGATTTCACTGGCATTCGCTGGCAACCGGCGTTGTTCAGAGTATAAAGCAACTTGAACACTCCACCTGTGCAGACGATTTCATCGGCATTCTACAGAGCAAGCGACATTTTTCGACGGGCATTAATTCCTCTATCACTACCGTAGTCTGGTATCTGCAATATTGTAGAAGGTGCACGTCGAATGCGCTTGTGCGCTCATTCACTCCATAGCGGTGTGGTCATTCCCCCCATGGGAGTGTGGCATCGTCACGTGTACCTGTCCTGTCCTACGTTTTTGCTTAGTCCAATGGAGCGAACGTGACAAATAAGTTTCGCCTGTAGCGCTCCCCAAGCCACGTGTAGGTATTTCGTGTATTGCCCCTCCCCCTGCCTAGCTGTTGTCGCCCTGCCTTAGCAGGTCTTATTATCGCGAACATTGTCCGAGTGACAGACAGCCAAGAGTCTTGAGAGAGAGCGTGTCTATTTGTCCTTGCTTGCCAGTAGAAGTAAGCCAAACGCGAGCAAGCGGGCAGCTACTAGCATGCACCCGGAATCGTGACATGGCCAGTGGGTCGAGTATGGAGTACAGATGAAAGCGACGCACGCGATGATGAGCTCTTCCGCCGCGCCGCCGTTCCTCCTCTTGCTCTTGCGATGGTCTTTGTGCTTATCCTTATCCGGGCACCCCTTCAGGCCATGGGCATGAGCGGGCCAACAATCATCCTTGGTTCCGATGTTCTCAAGCTTGGCAAAGGGGCGATGATAATCTCCTTCGTTAGCAAGAAGGTTTGGCTCGCCTTGTGATCTCGAGAACACGAGGAGATGCCTCGCTGGGGAAACAACGGGCCAGAGGGATACTTCTGCATGTTCCCATTTCGTCGCCAGGCATGGCAACCAACGAGAGATTGCCATATCTCCGTCCGGTCGACTTTGTCCACCGCTGAACCAGAACCTACACTTTCTTTTGTTGCAGAGAGATTGGAGTTTCCCCTTGAGCTGTTGAACAGGTCCAACGAGAGCGCTATTTTGGTGAAGCCGGATATTTTCATCGGAGCAGGAATATAATTTGTGGTTCTTTGTTCGCCGGTGAGGAGACGATCGCAATTTCGGAACAATTGTTTTTTGTGTTTTCTTTTTTCTTTTGGTCGAGGGTGGATCCCTTCTTATTTCGTACCGTGGTATCCCGAGTAGACCCCCTTTTGAAGGGCTCACGGCAACCTGACTCAGTGCGATGTCGCCCAGGTTTCGACGGTAAACGGGAATAACCGTACTTCGGCGGCGCCCCCCCCCGCTTATTTTTTTAGGAAAATTTTGAACCGATCGATTTTTCGTTCCACGTCTCCATCGGATTCTATCGAATTGAAACCCGTACCCAGCTTGTACGACAGTTTCTTTTTGCAGCAAGTTTTTGAGCGAGGTACTGTAGTCTACATGTTTTGTGGGACCGACGAGGGCTATTTCAACACTTTATATATCTTTGTGCGTGTTTTCAGCATGTGTCTTGGACACAGTGTTTCCCAAACGTTTTTTTCCAGAATAGAGGTGTTTGCTCGTGTCAGCTTGTTGTTCACGTTCGCTCCGCACGAGTCGGGAGAAGCAGTTTATGTATGTTTGTATAGCTGTACACGACGACGGTGGTGGTTGCGAAATATGACAATTGAGCCTGTTATGTAGTAGTCGTGAGAGCAAGAGGAAGGGGGAGGACAACAGCGGTACAGCTCGCAGCTACGGCTGCACTACGAAGAGAACGATGAAAATATTTTTTCGGTCTCTTACCTTCTCGCCCGTACTGCTGTTTTGTACGTGTACCGTGTACAATACTTCGACGTATGTCAAAGCACTGTATGTATGAATACATGTGCCCCCGATCTTCAAGGCGAGTGTACGAACCAAGTTAACGAACACTAGTTTACTTTTTCTCGTTCTCCGACTGAATCTGGTGTCCGAGACAGGCACACCACAGCAGCAGATCTTGTACTGTTGTTGTACCGACGACAAACAAATACCATGGTACTGTATGAAAATTGAGGAGGCACGTAGTAGCAGGTCCTGCTACGCTGGCAAACGCCAAATGACTGCGGTTGGATGGGGCAAAGGTACTATTATACTGCTGTAGTCGCAAAATGCCGCAGACAGCCATACATGATGCATAGTCTATCTTGTACAAAAAGCGACAGAAAAAGGCACACGGTGGAGAGACCACTAACGACAAGCAAACACGCAAACATGGCCACCAACCAGCGATACATTGTAATGGTACGTCATCACTAGTGGGGGGTTGGTGCAATGGTGCAGCGTTGGGGGGGCGGGGAGGGGGG